AGAGAGAGAGAGAGAAAGAGAGAGAGAGCGAGCCATCAGAAAATACGTAGCGGAAGAGAAGGGTACCTTTGGCCATCGCGGCCCCCGAACACCGCCAAAACGGGCTGTACACTGGAAACGCCTACATTTACCTGCACACACAGTACGGTACATATCGTGCATACATACAATACAACCTGATTGCATCTTACACCGCATACACATTCTGCTCCCTCACTGGGCAATTTGTTCTTTTTTTCCTCCATACCCCTCCCCCCCGGACAGCTTGCGACTTGAAACGGGGAAACATTGGGGGAAGAGTTGAGGAAAGAAATAATTTGAAACACTCGGGCTCTGGTATCACATCATTGTCCTGTCACGACTATTTGCCCTTTTGGCTCCTGTTCGCTTGATATCCAGTGGATTTGTGCCGCTCCGGACCCGCGAGCAATTGGCTCAACCCCATCGCCATCAGCCTCTTTTTTAGTAAAGAAGGAGTACCACCTTTTTCCCGCTCTTGTATGCAACGCCTCCCGACATAGCTCTCCCACTCTCATTCCTCCTTCCCCCGCCCCGCCGTCCTCTCTCCTTCGACTTGTACTGACACCCAACACATCATCTGCAGTTGAGTCTGCTGCCCCGTCCCCTCACAAGCAAGACTCTACACCCCCGTTGAAAAAAAAACTACGGTACGTACTGTCGCTGCTACAACGCAGCGCCCCACCACAACCACCAACCCACCACCCACCACTTCCACCTCCCTTGAAAATCCTCCCGAAAAACAATTTTTGGACAACGCACCCAAGTCAGACACGTGCTTTGCTTCAAAGGCGGAATTATTCTCAAACCTTAGAATAAAAATAAAATAAAAATTCCCTGAGCATTCAAAGGAACGAAGGTTTGCTGCGTGGAATTTGAGACATTGCACACGGCAGTTCTCTGGCCCCAATACTGTTACCATCACCACACCCCCATCAGCATTGCCATTTCTACTGCCAGTCTACGAATCGAAGGGGAAGGGGGAAAAAAAAAAGAAAGAGCGAGGACCGGGGAAGGAGGAATACGCCCCCTCTCTTCAGGTTCCAAGGCTGCCCATCTGTGCCCACTCACCCTCCGTTACTAATACCAGGTAGGCGGCATTCAATCAACCCACCACCCCCCCAGCGCACTCAACCAACCCACACACCCTACGGCCGCACCACTTGCCCTCTTTCCTACATCAGGCGTCTTTGACGTCCCTCCGCAGGAACATTGGAAAACGGGTGTTCCTCCCTTGTTCCTGTAACAAGTTGGCCTGCCAACCAGTCACGCAGCGCCAGATAGCCGATTGAGCCCCTCCACACGTTTGTCTCTCTCCTGCTCTGCTGGTATCCTAAGAGAGTGCCTGCCCCTCCCAGCTTTGACAATCTACAACCTGTCAGTTAAGCTATCAACTTTGTTGCCTGCTACAGCTTATAGTCCTTGCTGCCTCTTTCCGCACGGTTGCGTTCCTGACAGATTCTCCGAATTTACCCCATCCAGTCATTGCTCTTGGAGTCCGCTTTGGTGTCTTTCAACTAATATTCGGCATCGCGTTCGTCGCGTCTTAACGTTTGCTACGCATTCACGCCTTTCACGAGAGACACGCATAGAATCACAGCTTCTTCCCCCCCCCCCCACCACCATCCAATACTTGATCACCCCGCCTGCCCCCTCGCTCCCGGTGGATCAAATATCAACTCTTCAATCCTGGCGGCGGCTCACAAGGGACACTTCTACTCTCACGAAATTCCTCGCCATCCTCGACATCCTTTAGATCGATCTACTAGCGAGATGGCTTTTGCTCCGAGATACTCGCAACCCCATTCCACACACCATGTTCATGGTACCGCTGGGTCATATTCACCACAGCAGAATCCCGGGGGTGGGGTCAGCGGAGGATCCCCCCATATCCCCAACGCCCCGATGCATCAACCGGGAAATCAACACTCCCCACAGATGCCCACCACAACCCATCACCAATATTACCCATCGTACATGACTGCGAGTATACCTCAGACTACTCAATTCTATATGCCGTCTTCGGATAACGGTTTACCACTCAGTAGTCAGAAGTCGATAGCGTCCCCACGCATGAACGCGGGTCCGGCAAAGGTAAAAAGGGAAGGAACACAGAATAGGTCGCCTCAAATGGCTTCTTCAACCACAAACCAGGTTGGTTCGGGTCAACAGGTTATCCAGCCTCCGAGCCAGCAGGTCTCTCAACAGGCAATGCAAAATGCGGCCCAATTGTCTCAACGAAGGATGAGCCAACAACAGGGTCCGACGGGCAGTCCCTCGTTGCAGCACGCCCAGCCAGTCAATAACACAAGGACATCCGCGCCTCCACAACCTCCCGCACCCCAACAAACGGCTCCTGCGCCACCTCCTCAATCGCAACCTCCACCCCCACAACCCGTCCAGCAATCAGCAATGCACCCCCCCGTTCAACCCCATCAGCAATCTCCCGACCTGGTGCCACCGGAGGAATCCCCCCTCTATGTGAATGCTAAGCAGTTCCACCGAATATTAAAGAGAAGAGTCGCTCGGCAAAAGTTGGAGGAGGCCCTAAGACTGACGTCGAAGCAGCGAAAGCCCTACCTCCATGAGTCACGACACAACCATGCCATGAGGCGGCCGAGAGGGCCTGGAGGAAGGTTTTTGACGGCGGAGGAGGTGGCGGAGATGGAGAAGAAGCAGAGGGAGCAGGGCGGTAATGGTGCTGGGGATGGTAATAGTGGGAACAACGGGCAACCGGCGGCCACGGCGAAGAATAAGGAGGTGGATAAGGTCAGCGCTACCCGAACGCCTAACAGGATGCCGCCGAATGCGGCGCATCCCCACAGTGGAGGAGGCAGCAGTGCACCGACAAGTGGGTCAATGAAGAGGAAAGCTGGGCAGGCGGGGTTGCCATCCAGTAGCCCCGTGAAGAAGGTTAAATCTTCAAACCCACGGTCCTCCCACATGCCCAACATGAATAGCGAGAGTGACGATGAGGAGTTGGGCGAGGAGGACGATTAGGCGTTGCTTGTCTTCTCGCCACCCCCCTCCCCCGGGGAATGCTGGATGGAGGGAAGTAAGGAAGAATGATCCAGAGGCAAGAATGTGCTCACGAACTCATCGATGCTACGATAATTTGAATACTTGCGGAAACCTACAACCCTTTACCAAGAACACCAAAAATACTCCACCGATCCCACGGATTTGATAGTTGTCCTCTCTCATCCGCTCGCCCGCTTCCCCCTCATTTCGCAACCTACAACCTCCTCCTCTCATCAATCATCACGATGACTACGACGACATGAGAAATGACTAGGGCAGAAGCTGTTCCCATTATGATTGCCACCTCTTCTGTTCGTCCCTTTTGCATTGCGTTTGACCTGCTTTTGAGCATGCACCATTTCTAAGTTTGAATGTATCCATGGATACCACTACTGGCTTGGGTTCCTGGTTCAGGATCGTTTTACTAGTATTTCTAATTTCCCATGGCTTCGTTTCCTTCGGTCGTCTTGTTTGCTTCATACCTCTTTCCTCGTTATCACACCATTGCCTCGTCTGCTCCTCTCCTCTCTGGGCCCTTTCTTCGAAACATTAGAGCCGCTCCACTTCCCTTGAAAGCCCTCCTCACATTCAAAAGCATGGAAAGCACTACGACTACAGAATGGCTGTTCCGATAACGAAGTTTTCTTTTGCACATGGATTCCCGATCACGGGAGATTCGCTGCTCTGGCGGTGTGGGTTTTGTTTTTCATTTATTGATTTAATCATTTCTATGATACCAAACGACAAGAAACGGGGGAAGAGAAAGAAAAAACGCGAAAAAAACCCCCATACACACACAGAAAAGCAACCGTTTCTTTTTAACGGGCTATTTCCTTGCATTTTTCTATCACCTTTTCTTTTCGGAATTGGTTCGATTCCCTCGAAATGGGAGGGTCAAGATTGAGGAGTGCGGGGTGGCGGCAATTTGGAGCGGGAACACAGAGGGGTTTGCTTTTTTCTCTCTTTTATTTTCCCTTTCATATTACGGCCGGGGGTTCTTTTTCCTTTTTTCCTCTTTTTTCCTCTTTTTTTTCTTTCCTTTTTCCTATTTGCTTTCCATCTCTTTCGTTCATGGTTACCGGTACTTCAATAGCTGCATTGGGAGGGTTCACCTTATATACACATTCGCTTTTTCATCGTTATACAATTTGGCCTATTTTTTTTCTCTAGCTCTTCTCCATATAATTATCTTGATCCTTGTTTGCTTTTGTGGTTTCTTCCAGCGGTTTTGCGAGTTTCCTTTTCTTTCCGGGCATTATATCGATCACAAAAAACAAAGAATTGGTGAGCGCGAGCGATTTGGTGTTTTTTGAATTTATTCTGTTTTTTTCCGTTCACATTATAACCTACCTATTTATCTGTCTACTGTGTTTTGTCTGTTTTTATGCGCTCCTTTTTTTGCTTTGCGTCAACCTTATCTACCTTACCCACCTAGTATTATTATTATGGGAAGAAAAAAAAAATACCTTTTCTGTACGAGTATATATATATCACTTGGTTACGGGTCTGTCTGGTTGATACTGTAACTATTGTCCCCTTTTTCCTTTTCCTTTTCCTTTTTTTTTTTTTTTCGCTGTCAAAAACTGGGCATTTAAATTGAGGGACACAATCTCGAGCTACTGTATTGTTTGTTGTGGACCGACTAGACTAGACTGGAGAACACTTTTGTTTGCCCACCGCCCAGTCATGTGTTTTTCCCTTCCCCCCTTCAGATATCACGCCGTAACTTAACTCACAATACGGTGCGGTAGGGTGATAAGAACCGATAACCTCTTTCATGCGTTCTTGGCGGTGTGGCACAGTGTAGGAATGACGCTCCATTTACCAGTACTAGTGCCGGTAGATTGACCAACTGGTTGATTGTTATGGGATTCCCGTTCCCCCCGGTATTGGGGCCCGCGTTGGGGGGAGAGGATAGACGAGATGAAACGTTCCTGTGGCACAGTACGAGTACTGTACAGCACGGTACAGTACGGGTACAAGTACACTGAGCACGATGAAAGTGGGGGGGAATGGCCTTGCCCGTGGGGCGAGAGCGAGTGACAGGTGTATTTGGTAGGGTTGCACTCGTGCCGTGCTTACGCTCATGGTAGGGGGCCTGGTGAAGCATAGTGGAGTATCGTACTGTAGCGTCATGGTGTTGTGGATTGCATTGGATGATGACTGCTTGCTTGCCCTCTACCATGTTCTACTGTGCTATGATAGCACAGTCATGGCCACGGCCATAGCCATAGCATAGAATAGCATAGCATAGCATGGCATATAGCATCGTGCCGGATGCACGTGTTTGCACTATAGTGTATGTACTGTACATGTATGGTAAGTATCATATGTATAAAATCATACCATACGTGGTATAACCATGCATGCGTGTCTAACGGCGCTGTGCAGTACTGTACTGTACGATACATACGGTGCGTACTTGTTCTTTTTCTATACATGACAATATATCATATCATACCACCGCTTAATATATATACCCATGATACCTTGACCTCCAGTCCAGTCCAGTCCAACCTGCCATATGTACCGTACCGTACAATCATTTACACTACACTGCCCAAACCATCAGCATAGAACCCACCTACCCGCCCAACAGATAGACAAATAAAATAAATAAATAAATATACTACTGCATCATACCTACCCAACAATTGCCTTCGTATTATATCATATCACATTATCGTACTCTACGGATACCATACCCTACCCTACCCATCCACTTTTACTCCTGACGGGTTTACAGACAGACGAGACAGATGGAATCAACCTCTGACCGACCGAACACATGGCGGGATTCTGCCGGGGGGTTGGGTTGGGTTGGGTAGGGTGGCTGACTGACTGGATATTTCGGAGCCTTAATCTTCTTCCCCTTCTTTCTTTCTTATCTTGTCTCGTCTCGTCTCGCCGTCCATCTGGCTGGGTCTCATGATTTTTTCTTGGTTGGCTGGTGGGGAGGGGGAGGAGGAGGAGGAGGAAGGGGGGGGGGGTTAGTTTCGTTTCTTTTCTTTTTT